AAATGATGGAGTCATTGACTCCACCTGATGTTAAGTGGAAAGTGGTATCCTAACGCGAAGGAACCTAGTGCAGCGATGGAATCCTCACTGCACTAGCCGCCTCCACCCTGCCTGCCTACAATATGCCTCTTCACGCCTCGTTTGAAGGACCCCATATCATAAGAGGGAGGGAAGACATGTGCCGGAAGGGAGTTCCATTTGTCAACCGTGCGACAGAGAAAGGAGCCACCGAACCTTTTAGTACGCGATGGAATGCGGCAGGTAGTGAAACGGTGACTACGAAGGCCAGCACGCGTGCTTCTGAGCAGGAACGGGGAAGGGGGGATGAGGTTGAACAGCTCCTCAGAGCACTCACCATGGTACATGCGGTAAAAGGCGCTAAGCGATGCAACATCTCTACGCAGTTGCAGAGGTTCAAGGCGTGATGAGACCTCTTCGTCGCCTATAATTCGAGTAGCACGACGCTGTAATTTATCCAAGGCATCGAGTAGGTACTTGGCGGAGCCGTCCCACAAGTGCGAACAATACTCAACGCAAGACCGGACCTGTGTTTTGTACAGCAGGCATAACTGGTCCGGCGTGAAAAAACGTCGCACCTTGTTCAGGACTCCGAGTTTCCGTGAGGCTGTTTTGATCACAGATTCGATGTAGCTCCTTGGATTCAAATCACAGCAGATTTCCATACCGAGCAAGGTGAAACTGCTCCGAGGTGAAAGTGCTGTGCTCATCAGAGAAGGCATGGGAAGGAACGGCGACAATTTTGTTGTTAACGCGCAAACCTGTGTTTTCTTGGCGTTGAACTCAACAAGATTACTGGATCCCCATGCAGATATGAGGTCCAATATCCTATTGAGCTCAACGACAAGATCAGATCGCTCTCTGTCAGTATCGGCGCGCCCAGCTGCGGGGAATCCATGATATCCCCCATGAACAGTGCTATCATCTGCATAACAATGAATATTCCCAAGTGGAAGCATATCATTGATATGCAGAAGGAAAAGCGTGGGAGATAGGACGGATCCCTGCGGTACGCCGGCGTTCACATTCACGAACCTCGAAATGCTGCCGTCAGAAACGACGCGAATTCTCCGCTCACGAAGGAAATCGGCAATCCAGCTGCATAACTGGGCTGGCAAACCGTACGCCGGGAGCTTGGAGAGAAGAGCTTGTGAGACTGTGTTGCTATAGTAAAATAAAATCGATGACGTTTTAATAATGCATTCAAAACTGACAAACTTAAAAGGTTAGGTTACGTATATTTCTTTTTTGAAATAAATAAAACTTAGAATCGATTCTAATTACGTAAATATTTATTGAAAGATTGGCATTTTCATACGAAAAAGATTAACATATGTAATATTAATATACGTAAATTATTCAAGCTTGAGTAACTTGCGTGTCTTCTTTGACTTCATCCACAAAATCAGCTAACATGTCGTCTACAGTCAAACCATTATTTCTTGATAATTTACTGGAAATTTCGTTATTACCTTCGGGGGTGTCTCCGTTCGGAACAACTTTATCTGGTAAATTTACTTCATTTACTTTAGTAGTTTCGGTTTTATCATCTACACATTTTCTTCCATCAACTTCCTGTGAGTTCTTAACGACTTGCCCGCAAGTTATTTGAATGTCATCAGTTTCGTTTGTACTCGGTAAATTCTCGTCTTCCAATTTACCAATTACGGGCACATTTTCTTTACATGTGTTAGGAAAGTCATAAGCAACCTCCATGGAAAGCGGTCTATCTTCTCCATCGATGGTATCGTTGTCCATGTTTGAAGGCATTTGTGTATTTGCTTCATAGATGTTTATCTTTTCAGTGGCATAAATTTCGCACTCTTGAATTTTATTTTTAATTTTTGACACTGCCCTTGTAAAGTTTTCTTCGATAATTATTTCCTCTTGAATTACGTGCTGTGCATCAGACCCTTCAGTTATTATTTTTACCCTTTCACTTTCAAGGTCGTCAACTATTACCTCAGGGACTTCTTCATCAATTTCATCGCTAGGTTCAATGTCTTGTATATTTTCTATAATCAATTCTACATCTGGGACAGTGCTTTGTTCCACATCAGAGTCATCATTGACTTCTACAGACTGTACTGATTCACTGCTGACGCTTATGTTGTCTGTGGCGTCTTCAATGCGAGCTTTCTTAACTAAAGGTTCGTCAGGAATTGTTATTACTTCCTCCTTTTCTTTGGGTACTCTGAAATATAAAATTGAAGAGATTAGATTTTAAAAACAGTTTGTGAACTATGTTTTTCCAAAACCAGAAAAATAAGGTATCAGCAATGCTATACAATACATCCGATTTGTGTCAGACCCTGTACTCTCATCATAAAACACGTATGATGCGAATGAAGCTTTATACTTGACATATTAATTTTTGCGCTTTCTTAATTTGGTCGAGTATTACTTATACGACAGTTATTGTTTCGGACAGAGAACGAAAGACTGTGTCCGCCAGGATGGCTGGATCAAACGAGATATACAATTCAAACTGTGCTCATTATTTACTACCCATTTTTTCACCATTGTGAATATTGTGGGTAGTTTCGAATATTTACTATCAAATGACAACTAAATGATTCTTAAATAACTGATTATAATTTGTTCGCATTCCTTAATACCTACAAGTGGAATTTACATGTTGTAATAGTGAATTCAACTAATAATTAATATAATAATTGATAAAACATTGCTTGCAAACATAATCCAGAAACCATTGTTGGCTTATTTTAAGCGCCTTCAAAATTATTATTAGCAATTACACGGAGAAGATAAACTGTCTCTTCAGAAAATAACTTTTGCAAAGGCGTTTTATTATTAGTTTTTAATAACTTTTTGTTGAAGCTTCCTAAAATAGTGAAAAAAAATTATGTTTAGCTAGTAAATAATTATATAAAAAAACGTTTGGTCCAGCCATCCTGACGGACACAAGTAGACCCTCTGTTCCGAAACCGAGAAATGATGGACCGAAATATCACAATTTTTCTCAATTTCTACGCAGCGCAAACGCTTAAAATAAACAGAACATCAAATAAATTGTTATGAATTTTAATAGATGGATGAGAGATACTCTTTTGTTCTCACAAATGACTCTAAATAATTAGGCTGGTGACGATTAAAATCATGAAATTGTATTTTTGTTACACGTAGGACTTCCGTCGCCTAGCTCTAGTGTCGAAAGAATACATACTTTTCTATACCCAACAGCGACTCCAAAGCAGCCCTGTTCCTTGCCGAAACGTCTTTCTCCTTCTCCTGTGTTCTGTTCTCCGGCTGCGGCTGTATGGCAAAATTGAGCGATGGCGGTGAACAGTGCAGATGGAGCCTTATGTCGAGAAGTGCGCGAGAACAGAATGTTGAAATCTAGGAACATATACATTTTTAATTTATTAATAATAATAATAACACACACACTTAACATAGCCCAATTACACAAGTAACTCAATTACATCCAAACCCACGAGAGAAATAAATGTAGGCCATACAAATATTTCTCCCTGCCCGGGAATCGAACCTGGGACCTCGCGTGGCATGGTAGCCGTTCGGCCATGGAGGCAGTTTAATAATTATAAATGAAATAAAATAATGTATAGGTAATGTAAACGGCACAAACCTCAGTATGCTGGCTGTTAATTTTAGTGCTATAAAGCTGCAAACAATATTGCGTGGGCGGAGGTACACCCGGCGGCACGCACTTGCGAGTGGCGTCGAGAGCCCTTAACAGACCCATCCCTCGAGAACGGCTGTACAAGTCTGAGTTATAGCACTCGCGTACTAGAAGCTCTTGGAATCGCTAGAAAATAAAAAGAAGAATAATATAAAAGTATCTGTGCCATCTGTTGGTAGATAATTGAATTAATTATTTCGCTGTCAATCGATGCTCAAAGAAGGATGGCCAAAGCTGCCCCAAAAACATCGAGTATATACTCTATGCCCAAAAACGACGAAGAGCCGTTCATGGACTTTGCAAGTATAATTTTGCGTTTTAGTTTGTGCCTAGTTTAAGTTTCATTTAAGCATGATTGAATGTTTACCTACCTGAATTGTTGGTTATTTTATAGTACACACATAAAATATTTAAGCTATGAAATAATTAATTATAAAGTAATGACATAAAGCAAAAAATAAAACACAATGTGACAAAAATATTTAGGCAATATTTAAATGAGAGATAATGAAAGTTGCAAAGGAACATTTTGACAAGAGACCTCTCGCCAATGTCAATTTCACATTGATATTGAGTGTACTGTAACAGTGGTGTGAACATTTGTGGCAGATTTAATTTTTATTCATTTTCATTGCTGCAGAATATGACAAGTTATATATAAATATAATGTGGCAGAGTTTGGCAGATTTGGGAATATTCTGGAATTCCTTTATTATTTTTTGGGAACAAATTGAAAACTTGTTGTTTTCTGCTACTATTAACATATATCTGAATCGAAATACAGGACAATGTTATAAACATAACCTGTATCAACTTTATAGCCCCAGCTTCTACAGGCTGTACTCAATTAGCTTTTTTGATGCTTTTATAATGAATCACAAGTATAGTATAGGTCTCCTTAATGCACATCATCTGAATACTGGGTCACAAAATACACGGGATGTCGCCATCCTTCTTTGTATATGAAGATTAAGATACATAAAGACCGCTAGTATAAAACTAGCATCATAAATCTTTGACTTTTCAATGTTATACCATCAATAGTTACACCATCTATGATTACTATACTTAAAACGTAAAATCTCTTGCACATTAACACGTTCATCGCCGCGGTGGGTCCAAATGACCGGCACTTCATCTACCTATAGAGGACGTGGGGTGTTAAAATGACCGGTACGACACACCTAACTTTGTGATGTTCGTTCACGTGGCAAACGCTACGTAGTTAACCATATAACATGAACCGCATGATTTCCAGTTTTCCTCTCGACTCGAAGCACTTTGATTAGCTCTTTTCGTTTACTCATTTCTTTTTTATCTAGGTAATCAGTGACTATAAACTTGGAATTTCTGAAATATTGCCTATTTTGTAATATGTGTCTAGTCATTTTTTTGCTCAGTAGCTCTATTTCTAATGGAATGTGCTCTCCGTTCCTTCCTATTCTTTTCAAGTCAGAAGACTACAACCTAGTAGGCTACATAGAAATGTAGCCTACTAGGTTGACATTGAATATGTTATGAAATATTTGAATTACGCGATTATGTAACAGTATATCTCTGTAACAGTAGTTTGAGAGTAATATTTTGGAGTTCTTTCAGTTGCGTTTCGACATGTGCTATTTTTCCATTAATATTTGTAATTTTGTTTTGCATTTACTTGTGTTCAAAAGTCAACGTATCTGTTCGCTTACTAAATTCTGATCTGAATTTTGAGATAGCGTTTGTTATCTCTTGTTGGACAGTGCATTTTATTTCCTGTATTATTGATTATTTGATTTTTAATTCGGGACTTAAGTCATAACTCGATGTTTCGGACATATTGCAACGTCCATTGTACGTATAAACTGTGGGAGCCGAATGGCGCCTAGGGTATAAAGTCCATATATAGGTTTTAAACGACGGGTTGTAATCCGTTATGTAGGTTTGAAAAGAACGCACTGTTAACTTACGTATTTCACTTATTTACCAATTATTTATCATTCTATGTATTACGTATAGATTTTTTATTATATTGAGCCCTTCGTTTATTATTTTTTGATCGAAACACTGTTGTTATTTCACTTTTAAGTTTTTATAGTTATAATTCCGATTTTTGTAACACAAACAATGCCACACACTATTTGTTACAAGTTATTCACTTTTATCGAATGTAATTTAAAGATCCTTATCGTTTACTATTTATTAATTTGTATAAAGCGCGGAGCCGTTGTTTACATGCATAGCGCCCTCTCGCGATCCTCCTATAAGTTATATAATACATACCTGGTTAAAAGTATAATTTAAGTTATACATCGTGCCCTAAAAGGTGTTTGTTAGGTACTCACTTTGTAAATAGTCGGTTTTATGAATATACCACAAACATTCAAAAAAGTTTCCGCGCATTCTAAAGCTGCCACCGCTACTTCGTCGTTAACTTCGTCAAAACTGAAAAGAAATTTTTTATGATGTAATAAGTATCGGGACGAATAAGTCGTGGGCTTGGTGGTAAACGACACGCCAGTCAGAGCTTTAAATCGCTATTCTCTGAGGGGCTCTGCAACAACACTACGACATAAGTTGACAAACGTGCCTGTAATTTTACCAGTACCATTGCTCACATTACCGCTTGGCGGCAGAAATAGTTAAGGTAGCAGTACTTCCCTGGTCGAACTCTTTCACAAGGAGCTTTTCTGCTACTAAAAATTGCTAATAAACATTCTTTTAGAACTTAGAAATTGAAATCATATAGGTAGCCGCTACTGTGTGACGTTCTCACACAATTCTCACATATTACTATATAATTTAGATTTTTCTCATTGACTTACAAATAAATGGACGACGGGCCTAATACAAAAACCACGACAAAAATGTCCCAAGTCAACCTATTTAAACGTAGTGACATGTAAATGAATATGAAAAAGCTAAAACGTTGAATTGAAATTGTAATGTCATCGCAGTACTGTCTAATTTTGCTTGCTTCGCTGTCAGTCGAACAAACAAAGACTAAAGCTTGAATGACGCTCTGTATACGATTTTAACGCCCTATAAGTTCGGACACTTTTTAGCGCGGACCCGACGTCCATATAATTGTAAGTCAATGATTTTTCTACAAAGAATTTTGACAGTTGACTTACTTACTGGACAAGCTCTAATGCAACTAAATTTATTATCTTACTCTAATTAACAGCCTGCAAAAGCAGAGAAATTTCAGTATAATTCCTTGTACTTCTTACAATATATATACATAATTACAAATAGATCTACTTAATACATAACAAACATTGTGTTAGCAAAGAGTTTTATCATTCAGCGCAAGGTTCAATAGAGACTTTTATTATCATGATAGAGAATAACATGGTGGAACTAGTGATGAAGAGACTCAGTCTTTTAAGGCCTTTTAAAAAACCGCGACTAATTTTTAACGCCTCACGACTAGTCTAGTCTCTTAACCCTCAAGTCTTGAGTCATAACACTAAAACTGGAGACTTAGAATTCGAGTCGAAGTTTTTTAACCGTAGGAAGCTTAAAAGACTTATGGGACTCAAACGACTGGCGCCTTATAGGCTCGGTAGTCGCGAGTCATCAGCCGTATGGCGTGATTTTATTTCTACCCACAAGATATTCATGTTACGATTGACGGATAACGTTAACGTAGCTTTGTTCACAGAAGTCGGTTAATTATAACCAATTCAAGAATTTGTTTTTTTGGGAATTATTTGTTTCTTTAATACAAAAATGAATGGATACAGAACCCAACAGTCAAAGTATTTTATTAAATTTATTGTCTGATACTGTCGTTTGACCATAATGATGAATGAAACATAGTATTTATGAACGTATTAAGTGGAGGTCCACAGTCGCTGCCTACCCCTGAATAGGTGACAGGCGAGATTTTCATACGTATATATTTGTTCTATGTATTACAGATAAATTGTATCTCACGACTGTGCACGGGTTTCTAAAGAAGTTCAAACAAAAGTACCAGGACTTCATAATAAGAAAAGTGGTTACAGACCAACATTACACAAAATAAAAAAAAGGGCAGAACTGGAATCCCATACACTTTTAAATATTGGTTGTATTTCATTACTTTGATTTACTCGCAGAAAAAGTATTGTATGCAATCATTATATAAGTAGGTCTTAAAATCTAGTACCTATCGCTTAAATCACTCTTTGAATCCCAATTTTTATTATAAGTAAATAAACGTGATTCTTTACTACATACAACGTCATTTTTATTTATAAACTTCGGGTTTAATAAGACTAAAATAGGTATAAGTCCATTGCAAACAACTCGAGTCGTTTAAGTCGTTTAAGTGTTTTAGTATAACGACTGAGTTTTATTATAGTGCGCGCGGAACTAGCTGGCCGCGCCTTAGGTATGTGAGCGGTGGGACGGGGAGGCGGGGGCACTTGATGTCATTACTCAGAATACTCAGTTCGGCGCCGGACTTCGCGGCGGCAACACACGTTGACAGTTCTGGCTAGTTTAGACAAAACGCACAAGAGATTGCAATGTCAAGATGAGTCCGCCGATAAAAAGACAATCTAAGGAAATAATATTTAAAGTGCATACGTTTTTTAAAAAACGGAAAGCCGATGTCAATAGTTTAGAATATAAAACTGATGCGAATATTCATAAATTAGTGGCAGAAGCAACCGGGATATCAGAACGAAGTGTAAGGAGAGTGATTGCTCAAAGTAAAACATCCTTGCAAAATACAGGGGAAGCAAAATTTAGTTCTCCACGAAGGCCAAAAGAGATAAAAAAGAAAATACAAGTTGATGATTTTGATTTAGGAGTGATAAGAAGAAAAATAAATCAGTTTTATACGGTACAGAAAACAAATCCAAGTCTACGAAAACTAAATGCTGTGTTAAAAGAGGATAATATTTTAGATTGCGGATTAACTTATTTAAGAGAACTTTTGCACAAACTGGGATATTCATTTAAAAAATGTAAATCGAAGAGATCCCTTTTATTAGAGAGACCAAACATTGTTGAATGGCGAGTGAAATATTTGAGGGCCATAAGAAAATTCAGAGAAGACAAACGAAATATATTCTTTTTGGACGAAACTTACGTTAACCAAAGTCATAATGTCCAAAAATGTTGGCAATCTTCGTCGGAGCCTGGTGTTTATGCAGATATAGGCAAAGGAAGGCGTTTAATAATAGTTCACGCTGGTAGTCGGAACGGGTTAGTTGACGATGCTCTGCTAATTTTTAAATCAGATTCAAAAACAGGAGACTATCATGGAGACATGAACTCTACAAATTTTTACAACTGGGTTGATCGAAAGTTAATACCTAAACTTCCACCTAACTCAGTCATAGTTATGGACAATGCAGCTTACCACTGTGTGCAAGTTGAGAAGAAACCGACTATGTCCTGTATGAAAATTAATATGCAGAATTGGTTGCAAAATCATAACGTGCCCTTTTCTCCCACGATGGTCAAAGCTGAACTCTTGGGCTTGATTAATACGACCCAATCAGAAAAAATATACACGATTGATGAACTTCTGAAAGGTGCAGGTCATACTGTTCTAAGACTACCTCCATATCATCCAGATCTCAACCCAATCGAGCTTGTGTGGGCAAATATAAAAAATTGCCTGGCCAGAGATCACATTAATGCTACATTGGACGAGAAAATTACAATACTAACAAGACTATTTTCTGAATTTTCTGCCGAACAATGGCAAAAATGCGACGACCACGTACAAAAAAACGAACAAGAATACTGGAATCATGATATGAGATATGATACTGTGATGGACGAATTCATTATAAACTTACAAGATGATTCTGACTCAAGTTCAGACAATTCAGAATCAAGTGATTCAGAGGATAATATGTCAGAGTAATTTCATATCTATAAATACAAAGTCGTGTTAGTTACACTAATTAATTAATAATAATTTCATAAATGATTCAAATATGTCGGAAGAATTTCATTTAATTTGTTTTTGGTTTATTTTACTTTTAATTGCAATGTACGGGACAACAGCAAGTCCATCAATACATAAATGTCAAATTTATCCAATCAATTTTATACTCTATTCCCTGGACTTTAAGTTGAAAATCAATTGAGGAAATCTGACAGTTTGTGGCGGCCTGATGTGCTGCCGACTGTACATTGCAATTAATTAGATAGGTATAATATAAACTTGTAAAAGTTCAATTGGCTTTAATTTTTTCTTTTCAATAACTGAACAATTATTGTTCACGATATCTCGAGATTGGTCGTCACTGTCTAATCTCATGTGCGTTGCGAGCAGCAAGCAACCCGCCCCCTCACCCCTGTCTCTACCTAAGGCGCGGCCAGCTAGTTCCGCGCGCACTATAATAAAAACTCGAACCTCCAGTCTCAATTTTAGAGTCGAGTCCTGTAAAATGGAGTCGAGTCGATATAAAACGCCTTAAAAGACTGAGTTTCTTTCATCGCTAGATGGAACACACATATCGACGCCTAATTTTCTCAAACTCGTATCTTTTATAGAGTGATTATTCAGGAGATGGCAAAACTTTCTATTTATATTTAATTTCTTATCAAGGATGTGGAGGCATTACTTTAAGAATAGGTAAAAGCCAGATAGTGAATATAGGCTTGGTGTCTAGGGAACGAAACTAGTTTTTGTCAGTGGCGGTGAAAAGGTTAAAAAATGGTGGAAATTCCAAATACGATTAAAAGTAAAAAAAAATACTTAATGAATCTTACTCGATCAATGGGATTAGTTATTAGTAGTTATCCATATATTAACGAGAATATAAATGAATTGATTCTATTCAGTAATTTTGTTTACACCGTTTCATGTGCAACATACCTAGGGACTTTATTTTTCTCCGCAGGTATGTGCGACGAGATGGAACTTTCTTGCAGAATTGTGTTGGCTAGTTTTCTCTTCGCTTTCTTGCTAAGGTGTTTGGTTGGGTGGCTGCTCATCTGGGAAACACATTTTTATTCTATAACTTACTATTGTTGGCAAATTTGTGCTAAATTATAACTTTTTCATTTAAAAAATACCTGACTCAAAACTCCAAAGAATTACATCTATTTGCCAAGTTATATTGAAATCCGGACCGGAGCGTACGCGAAACCGGATTCATCCCCTGGTTAGCCACCCTTAGAAGTGGAATAATTTCTTTAACTTCAAATGGGACCAATACCAACAAAAAAAAAAAATCTCGTAACATACAGAGTAATCGCGTAACATACAGACATAAAAAATACAGTCGAATTAAGAGTCTCCTTCTTTTTCAAAGTCGGTTAAAAGTTGTGCAAGGGAGAAAAGTTCAATGTTGGCTTTAATAAATTACAGCGTCACCTATTCTTTAAACACAATACTATTTGTCTCTCTGTAACAGCGCCATCTATTATAATTTAAAAATTTCGTCCAAGATTTCCAAGATTCGTCAGTGTTTTTGAGAATGAAGTGGCTTGATTTTTTACCACAATTTGAATACCCTTTACGTGTGTGTGGATTGAGTGAGCACCCTTTGTAAAATGTTTAAAATGTGTTAGTAATTAGTAAAAGTTCTAAAACAAGAGAAAAATAACTTAATGTACGCTCACTCAGTTCTCACAGAGGGCCAGTCAGATCTACTAAATATTTAGTTTACATATAATATTCATGTACCAGACACTGGAGATAATAAAAATCGGTTCTCACTACTGAAAGTATATTGAGAGAAAAACGCCTTGAATTGGCGAAATAGCAAAATGAACCATTAAAGTCATTGCTCCTAAATTAAAGTTAGGCGCTATTTATAAAAATGAATCTTCATGCGTGAATAGCCACCCTTCGAGGTGGATGCTTTTCTTCAAAATGAAATGGGACCACTATGGAAGTACCCCCTTTCCAGCAAAAAAAGAATCATTAAAATCGGTTCACAAATACCGGAGTTATCGCGTAACATACATACAAAAAAAAGAACATACAGGCGAATTGAGAACCTCCTCCTTTTTTGAAGTCGGTTAAAAATAAAAAGCGTACTTATGTGCTTATTTTAAAAAGCAAACTTTTTAAGTGCCTTTGTTTAAACGCCCACCTCTACTTGTGCCTGTATACGGCGTAGGATGAACTTCTAATTTTTATCTCTTGAAAAGCTACTTTCCGTAAACAGTCTTGCATGCTTTGTTAAATCGCAGCAGCAGACGTCAAAAATAGTGTCAAATCTCTCTTAGACATTTGGAAGTAGTTTATATTAGTGAAATTTTGAGACAAAGACATTTAGGTCCGGCGCCCACTGACGGGACGGGACGGGATAAATATCGTGTAAATATTGTAAATACAAATAAGATAATTGTACAAAATTGATCTGGATAATGCGACAAGCCCGTAAAACTGTGAGTGTTATTGCGGATCAATTTTTTTAAATATAATTAAACTTTACATCAAAATGAGTAATATTAACGACTATTAGAAAGTTTGCCAAAACTTGCCAAAACCGTATATCGTGAGTAAGTGAGAGGCGTGACAAAATCACGGTGAATTGTTACTGTGACTTTTTTGTAACCGGAATAGTAATCACAATCACAGAAATGTTACCCTTTTTTCTCCGTGTCTACGGCCGTCTTCGTTTACAGAGTCCTTATCGCGGTGGGGCGTGGCCGCGGACACGTTGGAACCTGGAGGTCTACCACGAAATACGAAGCAATGATCATCGTTTTAGCTTTGTATCGAACCGGAGACTACTACGAAACGCAAGTGAAGATCGTGATTTGACATAAGTCCTTACTCCGAAACGTCAAGTGACAGCTTTCGTAAAACTGACAATCATATCGTCGATGTTTTGAAAAAGGGGCGAAAGCGCCATTTCGAAAAATAATTTATGTTTTAGACTTTAACGACTGTTTTAAAATATTTACGTCTTGTATTAAAATTTAATTTTGTTTTTAATTAAGATTAAGTTTTAAAATAGAATTTGTTATGATTATAAATATAACGGCAAGACTAAAACATGTTTCCCAAAAAATTTTTCAAAATGGCGTTTTCGCCCTTTCTACAAATCACCGACGATATGTAGCACGTATATGCTTCGTTGCGGACGCAGTCATGTAGTATCGTATTTCGTGGTAGACTTCCAGTTGAGTCGAAAGTCGCCTGCCAAAAGCGACCGTGTCGCCCATAGCATTTACACATAGTCGATTAGGTCTACTTCGACACAGTATTTACACCGGGTAGCTTGCCGCCTTGGCGGGCATGCATCACCGGTCGCCTTTTTTTTGTAATATCAAGTGCTGGGACTATCAAGTCGTGCACTTGATGGTAAGTTACAAGTCTGTCCACAACAATTGCAGTGCCACTCAGAGTTTTACATTACAAAGATCTGAGGGCAAGTCCAAGTCTTGACAAGTCCCAATGTGCCTGTAATGTCACCAGCACCTTTACCCTTGAAAACCGAAACGCAGTAATACTCAATTACTTGGCGGCAGAAATAGGTAAGGTGCCTGTCAACTCGGTGTAAATGCGCCGAGAGTTTGATTCTTTAATACGGGCCAAAGTTACAAGTACTCACGGTGAGTTCAACGACCTTCCGTGGCGGCGTAATGTCGTTTAAAATATGTGACGTCAGTTCGTCGTCCCAGCTGCGCGAGTGTTCGGTCGCGACGCGGTGTGTGTGCAGTGTGGTTAGCCAGCGGGTGAGGCTGTTGTAGGCAGAGACGCGAGTTTTGCTGGAATTTTGAACGTGTATGTTACTTTAAATTATGCTGAGACCCGTTCTATATGAAAAAAAAAACCATACCCAACTAAATCTTTGTTGAAATCTAAAATATACAGTAATATGAGTGATTTGTGGGAGAACGCCACACAGTAGCGGCTATATGACTTCAATTTCCGAGTTCTAAAGGAATGTTTAGTAGCAATTTTTACCAGCAGTAGAGCTCCTTGTGAAAGAGCTCGCCCAGGCTGCCACCTTACCTATTTCTGCCCCCAAGCAGTAATGTGAGCATTACTGCGTTCCGGTTTGGAAGGGTAAGGGTGCTGGTGGAATTACAGGCACATGAGACTTGTCAACTTATGTCTCAGGGTGATGGGCGCAGTGGCAGTGCCTCTAAGATCTTCGCGATTAAAGCTCTGAGTGGCACTCCCACTGTTATGGACAGGTGTGTCGCTTACCACCAGGCGCACGATTTGTTCGTCTCGTCACTTGGTATTATAAAAATAAGGCATAGGAATGGAATACACTGCCGGTATTTCGATACCTCCAATGAACTTTTTATTTATTTATTACGCCAACAAATTTTTGGAGCTGTTCTGTTTTTATTTTTTGTTTCTTCATTCTTTTATTTTTACAAAATTCGTTCTTTTGTTTTTTTTTCGAATGGTACATATTGATAGATGCACGATTCTATACAAAATCAAACCCAAACGTTGTACGTTTACCATCGAGTATATAACCAGAAATAGAGACGAAATAAGGGCCATCCTGGTAACTCACCAGTTATGCATCACTTATAAATACCAACTCTCGTATGCACTGAAATATAGACAGCGCCAACAACTGACCTATGTGTACGTCTCCGTATATTCCAAAAAAGATTCTGTATTTATTGTAATAAATAATAACTCTAACAATGGCGTGCCGTACTATTCGGTGGCGTGGGAAAAACAGCAAAAAATCTAATTACAAAACGAACGGATTCACATTTCATCGGTAATTAAATATTAAATAAATAATTTTACAATTCTCGTCCATTATAGCAAAGCTCAAGTTAAACTGGTCGTTTTGAAGTGAAACAATTTGACGACGCCTGTCAATTGTTTCGAATTCGGGCTGGCCAATCGAAGCGCAGTTGTCATCGTAATGATATGCTGAATAGTTTTCAAACAAATTAAATTACATTTCGTCTCTATCTCTGGTTATATACTCGATAATGTTTACTTATATAGGCGTATACCTCTAGTTATTTAGCAATTAGTCCTAAAGTGTGACATATGGTTATTTTTATTAATAACAATTTGTTGCTTACCGCGATTCCCCGCTAGGACGCTCCGAAGTCCATTTAAGTGTTTGCATCACAAATCTGAAGACTAGAGGAGAAAATGGAAGCAAATTTGGACCCAAGCTGGAAAAGAACGAATTGAATATCAATGTTACTTTCCTACATAAACTTTACTGTAATGAAAGTTCGTCCTGGCGTAACAATCACCAATTGATCTAAGGTTGATTGAGTTCTCTACATAAAAAAAATAATATACAGGGTTATTACATACATTTGCATGCCGAAAGTGGTAAAAGATGAGTACTGTTTTATTATGTATACTTGTACCACATATCCTGCCTTGCTAACCCGAAAGGCGCTATCTCTGAGATACGCCCTTTTACTTTTTTTTATATCATTCAATAGCTATTATAATTTTGCATCTAATAGTATAATATAATATTATACTATATATATATTGTATATACTGTATATATATTGTTTAGATTATAATATATATTCTGCTTATGTTTGTATTTATGTATATAAATTATTTTTATGTATATATATATATATATATAATATTATATATATTATTATTTTTATTTTTTTTTATTCACATTTAAATTTAAATTTTATTGTACAATAATTAGTCCCGCAGACTTCATTTTTCACCAAGGCTAGGGTTGGCTGGAAGAGATCTCTTCTAGAGATAAGCTCACCTTTGTATATGTTCTTTATAACTTGTGTTTCATGTATCTTTTCTTTGTGCAATAAAGAGTTATTATTATAATATCGTTATCTAACCTAAAACATTTAAAAAACAACTAAGAAGTATTTTTATATATTAATTTTTCCTTAAATTAGTAATCGATTTGGCGGCTTTCTTTATAATCAAAATAGCGGTATCTCACAAAATAGGTAATAATGGTACAATTTATGGATAATTTACGTATGTCAATAAATCTAGTCATAATTCATAAAATTAGTCAAAAATACGTATAAATAAGTTTTAACATTTTTAAAAAGATTTATTTTTGAAGGCGCGAAAATACAAACAAAACTTACTCCGTTTGAGATAGCGCTTTTCGGCTTATCGGGGCAAAATCGTAAACCATATTTTAAGCAAATAAATATCATTCATTCATTCGTATTTTTAAAATACTAATACACCTTGTAGGGCTAGATTACCGACATCATAAACAACAACTATTGTTCCGTGACTTTGACAAAACATGACAAATTTACCAAAAAAAATTATTTTTTTTCCGGACTATCTGACATTTTTAGATCTATATTTGGTAATAAGGTCCAAACATGCAAGCGTCCTGTCTGATGATTCCCACGTTTTGCACAGAGTTATCACCGTTTGGAATGCTCTATTTAAATATGTTTATTTTTGTATGAAATTAGAATCTGATGAATGATTAAAAATCATGGAACAAAAGTTGTTGTTTATGATGTTAGGTAATACAGTCCTGGGAGGTTGTTAGTATCCAACAAATCCCTAGGTATTGACAAGAGTCAGTGATGCAGACCGTGCTCAAAATGCAAGACAAACCTCCTACTTGTAAGGCGTGCATTCTCTCAAATAGTCTAAAAACAAAATCAAAGTGAACTACAAAAAATAACCATAGCAGAACCGGGTGGGGTATTGCCACTCAGATGAAACAGCTAAGTTTTTTTTACAATACTATATAATATTAAGTGACGGGACGAACAAGACGTGTGCCTGGTGGTAAGCGACACGCCTGTCCCTAACAGTTGCAGTGTCACTCAGACCTTTAAATCACAAAGATCTGAGAGGCACTGCCACTGCGCCCGACATCTTGAGACATAAGTTGACAAGTCCCATGTGCCTGTAATTTCACCAGCACTCTTACCCTTCGAAACCGGAACGCAGTAATGTTCACATTACTGCTTGGCGACAGAAATAGGTAAGGTGGCAGTACTTCCCTGGACGAACTCTTTCACAAGGAGCTCTACTGCTACTACTAAACTACTAGGTGGACCTTAGTAAAAAAAAACAATACTTACCAAGCCACTAAAGCATCCAAACTCCTCAGGGCTTGAATCTTGATCGCAGCGACATCAGCACCAGTAAGGCTTACGGGAACCACTCCACTTGACACACTTAGTGATCGGACTATCACGTTCAGAATTAATTGCGGGCGAATGGGTTTTGCCACTGGGTATATTTCACTGTAATGTGTTAAAAGATTGTATGAATCTCATTTTGAACAAACTGCTCCCATTTTTTTAACCTTTTACTCAGCGAAGACAAGTGAGTTAATGGTTTAAACAATCAATAGAATATCGAGTTCTTAGGTTTTCGCGATTGTTACACATAGGAAATGAAACTATTCGCGTATATTTGTTTTTTCAAACAAACCGACGTTTCGGGCCCTATGTAAAGGGCTTCATTTCAAATAGAATATCGTTATTTTGATTTTATTACATTTTAAATCTAGATGAGGTGTACAACAGTGTTGGGCGTTAATCAATTAAATTTCAATCAATAATTCAATCAGATTAAAAAACCAATTCAATTGAAATCAATTGCAATTATATCAATTGCGACGCGTAAGATCTCTTCTTCTCGCAACTCTCGCAACTAACAATTGATCAATCGTTAATTGCTGTTTCGCAATTGACAATTAATCAATTGTCAATCTTTAATTGCCAGAACCATTGACTTACAATTATATGGACGTCGGGTCCGCGCTAAAAAGTGTCCGCACTTGTAAGGCGCTAAAATCGTATACAGAGCGCCAAACTCCGCTTTAGTCTTCATTTGTTCGACTGACAGCGCGATACTGCGATGACATTACAAGATTCGCTCTGGACCTTTTGGAGGGAAAAGTGTCGTTTTTATTTTGACTTTCAATTATTTTGTGAAATCTAGTTTAAAGTGGAATAGGATAGTGCTATTGTGCCTTAATCGAAGAAGATTAAAACGCCAAATTATACGAATCTCGAACTAAAATACCCGTGTCGGCCCGTTTTAAGGAATCCCGAGTCAATCCAAGCACGCCGCCTCAAATTGCCTATCCTCTTTGTGGCGGCCATATTTACGGAAACATATTTAAACTTCATGTTTAGGCTGATGGCTTTGCCAAAGCCTTAATAAATTAAAAAAAAAAAAATTGACATTACAATTTAAATTTCGAATAGGTTGACTTGGGAGATTTTTTTCGTGGTTTTTGTATTAGACCCGTCGTCCATTTATTTGTAAGTCAATGGCCAGAACAATTAAATTTTGCCCAACACTGGTGTACAATTGCGACAAATGACCGTGTTACTGTGTGGGCCTTATCTGATATATGAGGTTTAATAAAGCCTAAAGAATGGGATTTATGAATGTAGCAAAACGTATAAATTACTATATCAAACATTAAAAATTGTACTTGGTCTTATGTACAAATAAATGAATTTTTGTATAGAACACATTAAATTTCAAACCTATGAAGTTAAATGCGCCTTATTTGCCCAGGTTATCTTATATATAGCGACTGTTGAAATGCAAAAGGGGCTATGCGACATTAAGGATGAAAATATTTCAAGAAAGAAAACTTTTCGCCCAGTAAAATTTCAGAGTAAGTACTACAAAATTCCGATTCAGTTAGATTCTGAAGGGAGTAAAGTAACAAATAACAAAAGAAGTTTCTTCAATATCGCGTCTATTCCATCTACCTATAATCATCGCGTTACCATTCAGATCATAACGCCTGCATTAACTACATAATTATATTATACTATTGTTTATATCATGTACATGGTCATGTAAATCATATTGTTATACTTACACAAGCATTGCCTGGATGTAAACAAACACATTTCTCAGTCTTGTGCACAATAATGACTGTTTATTCACATTGCTTGTTTTCGTTGTCTTTTTTATGTTTGCTAGGGCTGTCGAAAGAGGGGAGGTGGCTAAGTGTTGGTCTTGGTCGTTCTGTAAAATAAAGTCCATTTACATTACTGTGAATCACAGGTAATGACAATCACAAAAAAGTAGATTTTTGTATAGTTATTATCAAAAGTCACATACATTTTGAATTATTTACAGTCCTTGTTCATGCCTATTTCTGCCCCTAAAATCTCTTGAAAGAGTTATTGTTATTGAAGTGAACCATGGGCCAATAACTCCAGAGGACTGTTAACCGCGATACAAGACAATGTAGTCGGGTGTTTAGTACCTATTGGCACACCAGATGTTGCGACGAGTACCAAATGGCTATTTTTGTAATTAATAAAAAAATAGTTTTACATTCACAAGCTGCAATTTGTTACACACACACTAATTTCTAGTGATAAACATGGCTATTTTTTTATTTTGTTTACTCTATTCATATTGAGAAGCGTTAATTTATAAATTAAAGTCATTAATCATTAGAACGTCGTCGTAACATTCACAATTCAGCCATTTTTGGCAAAATTTTATCTTCTTTCACAATCCATCGATAAACCTATCGACAATTACATAACTATTTTGAATATTATGAAAACTGGCAACCCTACAAATGCCACTTTAATCCGTCTTCGTCTAACACACAATGCCATCTATTGGCGCGCATAATTGCCAAAGTTCAAAAAATAAATTTAAAAAACAAACTGACTTCTTATATTTCTTAAAATAAAGAGGAATTAACTGATATCTATGGCTATTTACATAGCATAAAGTACTTCCAGGTTACCGATCTGCGACATCTACATACGGACGGACGGACGGAATTTTGACCTTTTACAGAGTTCTGTAGTATGGAGATTAGTGCTCCTCTTGGGTTATTGGTGCACGAAATGAACTAAATAAATACGAAAAGCGAAGAAGTGATCCATGACTGTCTGTTGTAAACAAAAGTCGATCATGTTTCGCCGAATCCTTACGTCTTAAGCAGTATTCACTTTTTAATTAAATTGTGTAACAAAAAATAAACAAATTAAGTAAAACAATACCTTTTCAGTTTGCTTATAAATATCAACAGCGTGAGGGAACGTAGCGTCAATGAGTGTGTGAGCGGCGTTACACAATGACACCATTTGGTCCCGCCAGCAAGTTTTTGGGTTAGCCGTTTTTTCTTGGGAAGGACGGACCTGATAATTTTAGGATTGTGTTATCATAAGTAATTTTAGTGTGGTCACAATAGATCACTTAATGGTCGCAGTGATGAGGGACCACATAGATCCCAAATAAAGTCACCCTAATAATAATTACAAGCAATATAATATGGCTACATAAGTTCCTCTAGTATGCACTACAATTTAAGGAGCCATTCATAAATTACACTTATAAAAAGAACTGTGTAGGTTTAAATGCCTTGATAGTTCATGACGTTATATAAGAGGCTGTCAGGGGGTGACAGCGGCACCATATACAGCTGCAACTAAAAAGCTATCTGAAGCTTGAGAAAGGGTAGAACTTCACAAGATGTCCCTTACCTATTTAGGTAGTAGTAGTTAAAGTCAAGAGAAAAAACACCAAGTGAAGTGCCTTTATTACGTATATTGTTATTGATAGGTAGTTACTTTCTTGGTGTAAACAGGGAGATCAAAAAAGCACAACTATTGTTGTAGGCTACAGTTGCCATGATGCTAATGCTCAAGTTTTTTGAGTTTCATGATACCCCCTCCAGTGTTCTTTTGATAATATTATTTTATGCTTTAAGCAATACAAACATTTTATTACTGAATACTTGACTGTTATGTAAGGGAGAAACCACACTTATGATTTTAAACTGGCCTGAAAAAGCTTAGTGTCCACACAATAGAAGTGAAAAAGTTGTGTGTTTTACATGGGTGGCTCGAAACAAAGTGAACAAAGTTATTTTTTCGCTCTTTTTGCATAGTCAAAAAGCTTTTTCTAAAAAGCCAATTTCACATAACTAAGTTGGGTGGCTCTCTAAATGGCGAAAGGTATAATGTTCACTGTTGAGTTTGTAGAACTTTAGCTGTGGACCACTGGACCCCGCAAATTGTTTCTGACAGTAAGCAGAAATTACACTAGATACTATCTTGACACTAATTACTTGTAAAATTGTATTTGTATGTCAGTTCATTACCTGTTGTAAAGCATGCGCACATTTAGCAGCCTCAATGACGTTATAATAGTTGTTGCTATCCAGGAAGTAGCACAAATGTGTCTCTATTGTATTCCTATGTGACATACAGTACTTTGGAAACCTGAAATATTAAAGTAAATAAAATTTTGAATCTGGTGACTATTGATGTTGTAAGTTGCCACTTTCTTTAACCAAACTATTTCATATATTGTTAGTTTCAATATATCTCTTAAGTACTCTTAGGGTCGTATTCCTCTCTACCCAATACTCAAGTCAGGACATGAGTATTGCAGTGAGCACTGAAAATCATACTCAAGTCCTTGCCATAAGGGTCGTATTTCCAGTGCTTGAAATCATACTCAAGTCTGCTCAAATCCTGACTTGAACATTGAGTAGAGTTCTGGAATGCGACCCTTACACCTTAGTCATGTTGTGGAGTTTAAATAACTAATTAAGTGTAGAAACGAAATTTAATAAGTCAAGTAAAAAGTCTCCTACTAAACACACAATTGTACACAACAACAGCAACATAGAGTCCTGTACATTTTTGAATGTGAACTACCTGGTGGTATATGATTTATTTAAAATCCAATACAAATACCTGAACAGCATGAATTATTTTGCATTAAAACTAGAGTTGTATATAACTTTTCTACTGTTCTTGTGGCTCTTCCTATATTTTCTCAGATAAATGCTATAACTGTATGGCATCAAACAATAGGTGTGCACTTAGGCTTTCAATGTTAGCACCATGGTTCATGGTTGGTTGGTAACAATTTGGTGTTATGGAAAGAAACAGATATCCTTCCTTGTTCTACCATTTTACTTTTATAAGAGTTTATAAGTTGTTCTATTCAATGTTCAATGGACATCTCCATTAATCTCCAAATGAGAGAGCACGCGGTTTGCGTGGAGTACCGTGCGCTTACTGCAGTAAAACCATTCAAAACTCCATCTTACAAACAAGTCATAGGTTATAATATATAGCATACCGGTTGATGGCGTCCAGCAAAGATCGTAGCCATTGGTTGCAATTCAGGTCGATATACTTCGGAAGGTTCTGGAAAAAGGACGAGAGGGCATCCTTTATCGCCTCACTGTTATTCGGATCCACATCACGCACTTTATTTAATATTTGATCTGTAAATGAAAAAAACATTGAACTTCCGTCTTTTACACGGTATCAAAGTAACTAATGTAAAAACTTATTGATCGTATAGATAATTACTCATTTTCGAGGTTTCGCAACATACAAACTACATAAATTTACACAATTATTAGTATTTACTAATAATTCGATTGTAAATACAAGAACGACATGTGCTAAGCATTCATATGACGACATGACAAGACATTGACAATATTGACATTTAACAGACATGACCACAGAACACTATACTCATAAACTTTTTTTATAGAGATGTGTGTATAATCAAGTCTCCGGTCGGTGATTGAAATAATATCGATCAGAAGATCTTTTCGAGTTCGATCTTGAGTTGTCACATACAGCCACACTATTAATCAACGTTCTCCCTCCTCTTGCTTGGCAATGCGTGTACGTCAATAGACGTAACGTAATTTCAACAATTTTTTGTTTGTATTTTGTGTTCGTGTTGCTTGTGGATTGTTTATTCTGACTGGGACTTTCATCAGCTTGGCTCGTAAATTGTGTGACATAAATATATATTGTTCAAGCTTGTGATTTACCATGGCCACTTTGGAAGATAAAATTTTGGGTGAGAAACTCCACAATTACTGTAGTAGCAGTGAAGATGAGGGTGACTCTGACGATGATAGGAGTGGTGATGAGGAAGGGAATTCACCACAGAGGAATGTTGCGAAGGTATCGGAGCCTGCGCCAGTCAACAGTTGGTCAGGAACTGCGACCAACACGGGCCCGAAAGGCGTTATTGAAGATTGGCGAAGATTTAAGCAACTCGAAGCTGAAAATCGCAAAGAAATGGAAAAAGAACGCGTAGCACTGGCTAAAAAACTTACTTTGTCCGTTAAAACTGAACGGGAAGAAGCGCAGGATAAGGAGATTGCAGAATTAGAGGACGAGCTTGGTGAGCTTATGAATGATGACTTTCTTTTACAATATCAGAAGAAAAGAATGCAAGAGCTTATGGAGCAGTTGCAAAAGGTTCCCAAGTTTGGCAAAGTTATAACCCTCAACTCGCAAGACGAATTTCTGAACGCTATTGATAAAGAAGATGACAAAGTTAAGGTGGTTGTACACATTTACAGTACAAATTCACGTGCTTGTGAAACTATGGATGGATGTTTAAAAGTTTTGTCGGCTGATTATCCAACCATAAAATTCTGCCGCATAGCAGCAGACACTGCTGGTTTAAGTCGTCATTTTCGTGTTGAAGGAGTACCTGCAATTTTAGTGTACAAAGCAGGCCAAATTATTGGTAATTTTGTCCAATTGGCAACGGAGCTGGGCAATGATTTCTTTGCTACTGATGTGGAGAGATTCCTTATAGAGTACGGAATGTTACCGGAAAAGTAGTATATTTCGTATTTTTATTAATTATTATTAAGCTTACACTCAATCCATCATGCGTCCTACAGATACATGGTATCCCTAATGATTTTGATGTTGATTGTAGTATTCTAGAGCTACAATGTGTCTCTAATGCGCAGGTGTCGTATCATCCAGCATTTTTTGAAAATTTTACAATTTTTTTTACCAAAACAATTAGGGACACCGTGTGTCTCCAGGGCATGTGTTTGGTTAATTAGTATTATCTTAATAATTTAATTTATTGCATTCAGTGTGTTATGTTCAGTGTTTTTTGTTGTTGGATAACAAAAAACTACAAAAAATAGTAACTACGTTGATAATCAAGAGAAACCTTCTAAAAATGCATTTATGTGTCATGAAATTCAATATACCTGTAATATATTCATTAAAATGGTAATTTTCGCAAAGTGATGAAAAGATATACAGTTTTTGTAGGAGACAAATTACATATTCAATATATGATTAACAGCTCTTCCAAATATAGTATAACACTGTAGATGATGCGATTTTTTATCTTCTAATTGTAATGAGGTTGGATGTGGTTGGACTGATCTCTTAATAGCTTGGCTTATGAGGGACTTAATGATATTTAGAGACTTTGCAACAGGAAAATCATAACTGTCTTATTAATTTAAAAAATCTGCAGATGTTATGCATTTTGAAATATAAATATAATAAATTGAAAAGAAAAAAAGAAAGAAGTTTTTCGCTAGTATAAAACAAATAAAGTACACAATTTTATTTGTATGTTGGTAATTTTTGCAACTTACAAATTATTCCTGAAAAGGATAAAAGGTTTATATCTTCACACCTTAATGGTTTTCTGTTAAAACTAAGTAAGGTTTAGGGATAAATATTTATAAATGTATAGATTGAGACTTGTAGTGGGTATTTAAAGACTAGAACTTGAAACTAACACTGTCCACTAAAATAGGGTATTTGAGTTTTCGAAATCATTTTCATTATAATTAAAAAATAATTGATAGTCCAATGACAACCAAAATCGAAATTTATTGAAAATTACATAGTTACAGATACACAAAAATAAAGAATAAGAATTTAACCTAACAATTATTATGTCTGGTGTCAGTTCAGATAATTCCAAATCCATTTTAAATAATTTTTTTATGTACATTGTTGCTGCAATAATGGTACGAGTCAAATACCCTATTGTATTTTAGAAATATTTAATTTTTCCATCAATACTTAATTGTTAATAATTTTAGAATGTAAGTTCATTAATAAATAATAAAAAAATCTCGTTATAATATAATAATATTGTATAAGTTTTCATAAGTATTAAGTTGGTACAATAACAGTTTTTAGTATTCTATCTACACACGTTGGCACACTTAGCAGAAAAAAAACAGTATAAAAAACCGACCTCAAAAGTCAGTCATAGTTTGCCACCCTTAGAGGAATATTTTCTTGAAATTTAAATGGGACAACATCTGAGGTACCCCCTTTCCAACAAAAAAAGAATCTTCAAAATCGGTTCACAAATTAGCCGGAGTTATCGCGTCGAATTCGGAACCTCCTCCTTTTTTTAAAGTCGGTTAAAAAAAAGTGAGAATAAGTGTGGTAATTTTAAATAAATAACAATTGGATATAAAGTGGCAATTAGTCAACCTTTATTGACAAATCTGTATTAGTGCAAAAGTGAATGAAAAAATGAAACAACTATTTTTTAAGCTTAGTATTTTCACACTACACCTAAAATGAAAACGTAAAATAAACGCCAAGACTATTGTAAGTCAATGCCAAGACTGCATTATTTTGGGACTTTAATTCGTAGTCTGCTAAATGTGTTCCGCCGATGTGTATTATATCAATATTATAAATTATAATAATGTATTTAAAACAAATGAAGAGTGCTTGTGTAATATTTAACGCATTTGTGCGTCATGCCTGTTACTAATTTGCGACTTTCCAAAGCGTTTAATCCGCCTGTTTTGTTCACTTGGTGTTCATGCCTGCCTTTTTCTATAATATAGACTTGTGTTTAATATAATATTGAATTTTATTTCATCATGAACGGTAGCACGCTTTTAAAAACCAATTTCGATTACTAATAATAATAATAGACATTTATTTCAGGCATAAAAAACACATAAACAACAAAACCATTAAATATAAATAAAGATAAGATACATACTTAACAGATAAAACTTTATCCCAAATTTTACCATTGGATAAAAAAAAAAGCAAAAATATAAAATAAACTAGCCATCATCTAACGTTGTCAGTGCAGTGCAGGGGGTGCACTCAATATTGAGTTCTTGCTATGTCGCAGGCGAGCCCAAAAACGAGGCTATACCGTTCTGATGATGGTATAGAAATCGGGTACAGAATAATAATAATAATAACGCATATACTCAACATAGCCCCGCACTAGGGAAGCTCTGTGTTGCGGGTGCCATGGACACACATAGACAACCACAAATGACACCCAAACTCACGAGAGAAATAAATGTAGGCTATACAAATATTTTTCCCGGCCCGGGAATCGAACCTGGGACCTCTGCGTGGCAGTCTAGCGTGGTAACCGTCAGGCCACGGAGGCAGTAGCAGAATAGTAATAGATATCACATAGATTAAATAGAATCCTACATCCTTTATGAAGTCACGTTCATAATTTGTACTGAAAGCCTAATTATAGTTGCAGAGTAAATTGATTCTATTGATGATGGATAATTATACAGCAATTCTAGTAATTTTTCCTACAGTTCCCACAGTGCTTCATTCACAATTTTCCTATACTTCCCATAATATTCCTGGTGCAAAAAAATAATTCATCTACTTATTTATAAGTGAAGACGTTTTCCTGTTTTTCAACCTTCTGAAGATTTTGTACACCTTTACCTTAACCGTGGACCAATAATTCACGAGGACTGCTAATACAACATAATGTAACTCTGAAAAAGTCACAATTCTGTCACATCTATCAATGGCCTGTATGTATGTCTACTAACGGTAGCAAACCATGATTGATTTTTGAGGTCGGTTTTTTTAGTAGTCTGTATTGTTTTTCGGTTTTAAATCGCGTAGGTATATCATAATATAAGTATAATATAATATAAGTATAATCGAAAACCTAAGAACTCGATTTCAGCAATTTTCAGGTAAGTTTTTTGTACTAAATTTTGGTAACAATTTTTATTATTTAATTACTCGAATATATCATCGTGAAATATTAATTGAACTTTTACAAATATGAGTATGAACGGATGGCATTGTGTTACAAACTAATTTATAAACTAACGCTTCCTAATAGTGGTAGATAGCGCTAATCCTAAATAAAATAAAAGAATAACTAGCACTATCCATAAAATCCATGCAATAAGCGCCATCTAGTTGGTTTGTTTGTTATCACTACAAAGTAGAGTAACAAAGACTCACCATCAATCTGACCAACGGGAAACAAAAAAAATTGCTATTTTGGTACTTGTCGCGACATATTGCACCAATAGGTACAAAATACCGGACTAGGCACTACGCTGCTGTCTTGTAGCGCGATTGGCAGTCCTCTTGAGTTAGTGGTCCATGCTATAGATGATCTAATAACGCAATTATTTTAAAGCTGGAAGGCAAGTGCAAATTGTTGCAAGCAGGTTGTTGCAATTCGGACAAAAACTCGTTATAATTTTTCAAGTTTCTTTTTTTATTGATTGTAATTAAAGATTGCTTTGTTTTAAATAAAAAATTTTCAAATAGAAATGTATCATTTATTATGAAAGCTTTGCATTGCAAAGAATTGCAACAACCTGGAGCCATGGGAGTACTTGCAACAATTAGTCTTCCTTCCAGCTTTCGCAAATCTATCTTCGTACTATGGTCATTCGCGCATTCAAGCTTTCGCGCAACTGAATTATCGCGTATTCAAGCTTTCGCGCAAATGAAATATCGCGCATTTAAGCTTTCGCGCAAATTAACTATAGCGGCTTTCGCGCAACAGTCTTCGCAATATTGTCATTCGCACTCACGTAGTACACCCCTTATTTCTAAATTCTCGCCTTTTCCGTGACCTGAAACACATTTTGAGTTTATTACCCGGAAATGAAAATGTTCAGGGAATCGGGTTTAAGGAATAATACGTATTTTTTTAGGTTTTCAGTCTTGATGCATTTACGCGTCTCGGGAAAAAATCGCGACTTCGAAAACCCCGGCAAAAACGAAACTTGAAGATGGTGTACGTCACTAGACAATTGTGGAAAAAAAACGAATGTTTTACTTATTCTATAAATTTTATTAATAAGACATTGAAATACATAAGTGATACATTTCTTCTTATAACTTACTACAAAAATTGTTCTTAACACTAAGTCTCGGAAACGAGTATGAATACTAAATCATTTGTATAATTTCGGTCCAGTACACGGCCTCGTATTATGCAACAGATCCTATGAATGTGAACCATTGATGAGTAATAAAAATGACAATTAAAGAACATAGACTGGCCTGTTTGGGTCGTAGATAATAGTTGTTGAATCATTTTATTGGTCTTGGTTGTTTATATGCAATATTGCTTGCATATTTTCTATTCGCGTACGCTTTTTGTTTGCCGTTTTTTTTTTCTTTTAAAAAGATATCTATGTATACAATATAATTATCCAGTATAGTGCTGGTATATATGTACGAATTGGATTAATTAATTGCCGATCACCTCAAGCGACAAACAAATTATTGCAAAGTTCAAATATTTGTTTATACACATTAGGGGTTTATTGTGGAAGTAAACAGTATGTGAAGAATTGCAGGTAATTGTCAATTCTTTCATTAAAGGTAGTTGTTTTATTTGTCGTTGCCATATTCCTGAAATCTATAGAACTAATTTCTTCTAATAGCAACATCGAGGGGTCGTGTCACATCTCGCCCTCAAAAGTGGATGCAAAAGAAACTTGTCTTCTCTGGTACATACAACTGTTATGGATAATTTTCAGTTTCATTTCTTTAAATAATCCAGTCCATTTTAAAGGACTAACGCCGATACACGTAAACTTAAGTACTAGCAGAGTTCAACGACCTCGTCGGCTATTTCGGTGCGCCTGCGCTTCGGTTGCTTCACCATCGGTTCACCGTCATCATCTTCTTCAATAATCTCCATATCACTGTCGCTATCCTGACGTATCCTTGTCCGTGATGGTCCGGGTTTGGGCTCTGAACCGTTCGATCCATTTGACTTTTCGGCTTCTTTTGGAGCCGGCATTTCGGCATCGCTGTCTGTTACTAGACGCCATGATTTTTCTTCGTCTTCTTGTTGTAATCTTACTCGGACTTCATAGTTTTGTAGGAAATCGTCTACCATTAAGGCGCAGCCGTCAGTAAGACCTATTTCTTCAAGAGTCTTATCATTATTATGATCAGTTTCACCAGGTTCTGAGGATAGCACGACCAGACCTTTTCCTTCGACTGTGGCGTCTGGCGCTTGCATGTTTAGACCTTCCTTGAAAGCTGCCGTTAGATCTTTGAGTGTCAGTTGTTTCAGGTTGCAAGCGAGGCCTATTTCTGGTTTAGGCGCGCAAACGTAACATTTCGGGTTCGGTGGAGTCAATGCTGGAAAAGATAAAATATATTACAGATTATGCAACTTTGTGGATTCCTTAACACTTGTAGCGAATAAATATCATGATTATTAGGAAAAGGTCGAATTGTAAACCTCTCCAGACATACAGCCTTCGCGTCTTCTTGTCGTCCCGCACTTTACTACTGCATAATTGAGGCTATCAGCGCTAAAGTGGAGTAACCAGAGTAGCTAAAACCACCAAATATTAATTAATTACCGTTTCGAATTCCGGATTTTCGGAAATGGTTTTACTGCATTGTAGGACAAAACTAATGACATAGTAAGTCGGAAATGGATTTTAAAGTAATTCTGATGGTGTCTTAAAAAAAGACAGTAGATACGACTTTTACCAAAATAGTGAATAAAAAAGTCACGAGAATGGTCTCTCTCCGCCCCTCCCTACGTTTAGACATCGCACATTGACGGAACATTTAGCGACAACAATGGCGACATTTGCTAGGAGAACTTAAGAAAAAAAAAATATTTATGAGGTGAATTTTCGGAGAGTTTAGTTTGCATGGGAATTGTTGTGATTACGCTCTAAAAGTATTTTATTTGAAATAAAAAACACTGTATAACAGATGTTCATAGATTCGAACTACTAGCAGAAATGTCGTAATTTAAAAGATTACGCACTAGATTATTTTAACATTTTTTATAAAAAAATCTGCTGAACTCTTCAACAAGATGAAAAAGTGCCATTTTTGACGGCCTTACCAATACACGGCTATTTATTTTCATAAATAGAATAAAGAGAATAGTTTCTTTCGTCCGGAATTCGGAAAAAATTATTAATTAATATTTGGTGGTTTTAACAAGTCTATGTCGCTCCTTGTAGCTATAATCTATACATGTATCTATGTATGTGAAACACATTTTTCTGAACATTGGCAATATAGCTTGAAATAATATTAAATTACACATGCCAGCACATCAAGCTACACATTGAAGTATCATGTTCCGTTGCACTGGAGGAGTGAACAAAAATGTGTAGTCTGAAGTGCCGTTGTCTGTACATAATTATTATATATATAGAAACTATTTTCTTGTACAAAAAAATAATAATTAATATATTGGTCATATATGATTATAATATATATAACTCTCATTTTCAATCCCTCATCCATATGCATTGTATTAGGTTACATCATTTTTGCGCTTATATTAGGGGTTAAAGTATGAAATTGCCGTTTTATTGCAATAGGTTCTTTGAATTTTCATAGAATCTTCATGGTTTGAGGTTTTCGAATGAAACTTTTTTCAAATGGTTTCTGTGATTTTTTTTTTAAATTTGAAACATTTGAATATCGACTTTCAATTGTTTTTGTTATTCAATTTAGACAAGAAAGATGGATACTGCGAAAATTCGAGTGATTTTTGAATACGAGTTCCGACCAGTGGCGGCTGCACCTTAAGTGCGCCCGTGCACCGCACTACCATTTAAAAACCTTCTAAATATGTACCTTCCTTCTTCCTATACCATACTACATCTTAAAAAATTTAAACTTCACAAAAAATACCAATTCTTTACTACCTATAACAACCGTAATACCTACCCTAAACAGAAATTACATAAATCTGATTATCGTTACGAGTTAAATTAAATCGAGCTGGCCTATTTTGATTTCTACTGCGAAAGAATTAGATCTTATTTTTGCTTGAACAAAAACGGCCTCGTGCGCTCGGATTGTCGCACGGAGCGAGCTCCTACATTTAGTATGAAACACGATGGAAATCGCCTGGCGCGTGAGACGGAAGATGCTTAGTACAAACTGTATGCAGTTCTAGGATAAATTCGTGCGCCGCACGCGACCGGAAATTGCCGAAATAATACGAATGACGCCACGGGTGCCCGGGCGGTGGCCTTGACCGGTGGCGGTGACCTACGAACGATACACTTGTCATGTCATTGTCACAGTTTCACCTTTCGCGCGTGCCTAATTTTACCTGCGTAATGCGTAATTAATTTCTTACTCTAATTACTTATTAACTAAGAAAGTAGTAAAGATTTCGTGAGTGTGTATGTGTGTGTGAGTGAAAAATGAGTGCAAAATACAATATTGACTTCATAAAAAGCAATAGGACATTTCAAAATAGACTGGACATAAAATCTGCTGGGCCGCCTCGGCCTTTTTTCAACTTAAAACAGGAGTGCAAAACAAAAAATAAAACTTTTACGAGAATTTTCAAAAGTGAAATGTACAATAAAAAGAAATGGTTATGTGGATGTGAGCGACTAAATGCTTTATTTTGCTTTCCGTGTGTTGTTTTCGGCGGAGAAGCAATTTGGATTGAAACTGGAGTGAAAGACTTAACGCATTTAGGCGAAAAAATAAAAAAAAACATGATTCTTCGCAAGTTCACCTGCAAAATGTTTATATAAAGTCATAGAACATTTCGCGTCAAACAAGGAACGCAGAATTGATTTAAAATATAAATAAGGTAAAATATACTTATAATTTTTTTACTTGTGGAATTTTATTAATCTATTTTTCTTCCAAAATTCACTAAACCCATAAAGTGCGCCACCGGGGATCTGAGGCACCAGCCGCCACTGGTTCCGACGCGGAACTAACGCGGCAGAAACAGCCCGCAATATCAATGCTGCGTTTGGAGAGGGGTCTACTAATGAACGCACCGTGCGATTTTGGTTTAAACGCTTTCGTGATGGAAATTTCGACTTAAAGAACGAGCCACGAGGAAGACCGCCCACACAGGTGAATAACGATGAATTAAGAGAGATAGTGGAAGCCGATCCTAGTCAAACTACCCAGGAATTAGCGGCATGGTTTAACGTTACCTTACCCACAATATTGACTCACTTGCGTCAAATCAATAAAATAAAAAAATACGAAAAATGGGTGCCTCATGATTTGACTGATCTGCAGAAAGAAACGCGTGTTGAAACTTGTGTTGCCTTGTTGAACCGGTACAGAAATGAAGGAATATTGGATCGAATTGTAACATGTGATGAAAGTGGATTCTTTATGATAACCGGAAAAGAAAAATGCAATGGCTGACCCCAGGTCAAATGCCACAACAGTGTCCTGAAGCAAAACTTACCAATAAAAAGGTAATGGTAACTGTTTGGTGGTCTCAGCATGGTGTTATTCACTATAGTTTTCTCCGATCTGGTCAAGCAATAACGGCAGATGTCTATTGTGCCGAACTCCGAACCATGTTGACAAAACTAGCAGTAAAACAGCCCCGACTCATGAATCGATCTTCACCATTATTGCTCCACGACAACGCGAGACCTCACACAGCACGAGAAACCATTTTGACCCTTCAGGAACTGTAGTTAGAAACCATTCGTCATCCTCCGTATTCACCAGACCTTGCTCCAACGGACTACCATTTTTTTCGTGATTTGGACAATTATCTACGTGACAAGAAGTTTTCTTCCCAGGAGGCAGTACAAAATGCTTTCACACAGTTTGTGCAGTCTAGATCGTCGGAGTTCTATCGCAAAGGCATTAATAACCTTCCCATTAGATGGCAGCAATGTATAGATAATAATGGCAACTATTTTGAATAAATAAATTTGTTAAAAATTTAAAAAATAAACAATTTAGATTTTCAGTACAAATCGGCAATTTCATACTTTAACCCCTATTACTTATAGCTTCAATTAGTAATCTAATTTGTACTGACGTCGGTTAAAAGGTAAAACTCATTAAGTGACATTTTGTTCAAAAACTAGATTTTTTCAATTTTGCTTTATTGGGAAGAACATCTATGACAAGAAAAATTCAGTAAGTCTGTGGTGTCCTTCATGTTTTAATACATACCAGTCCTTTAGTGATTTTTCATAATGAAAAAATACAAAATCTTAATTATCTCCCTTTGGCCAATTAGGCTATTAGTGAGTTTTACCTTTTAACCGACGCTGATTCAAAAAGAAATGTGAAAGTTACATATGTGTTGATGAAACTCCTAGCATCTGACGTATACATGAAAATATTGCAGCCATAACTCACTTTTCTCGGGGACAAATATCTGTCCGCAGTGATTGACTTTCGGTCTTAAATAGACGCTGGTACATGTCTTGATATCGCCTTTCAAAATGGCCTGTGCACGTAGCACTGCGAGTCCAGCCACTATTGCGTTCGCCGTCGCGATAGCTGGGATTATGTTGCCCGCCATTGCTAGAAAAGTACAAATAGTCAAAGTTTGTAACTTTTATTCAATGTTAAAATGTTTCACCATGCTATTCAATTATTTTTGTGAAATGACGCTACTAGTTTGTTATAATTATTAATAAAAAGATCGAACAGTAAGAAAATATTACTTCGATCGTTTTAAAAAACCAAAAACAAAAATCTGCGACAAGCATATAAGAAAATTCGTAAGGTCCATTGGTTCGTTCCGTGGCTTAGTTGGTATAGCGTGTAGCACGGTTTGCTGGAAGACGTTGCTTCGAATCCAATCGGATCAAAGTTTTTCTTAGTGTTAGATCTTTGTATTAATAAATATAGTGCAGGTTTGTTATAACAAGGTTTATGACTTATGTCACGCTGAAGGTTCACAAATTGTCAAAACCTTCCTGTATGTGGGAGCTTTTGTAAACAAAACTTACATTTAATCTCGAAACGTGACTTGGTGGGAATGTTAAATATATGAGCTCGAATGTTGGCACAGGCGGTCACGAAATCCATAGCGCTTTTTTCATCCTTGTCCCAGACTAGATGGTCTCCCTCGGGACGGCTTTTCAGATCTTCTTGGAGAGCCTTGCAGCTTGCTGCAAAAACCTGGAAATAAGGTTAGAAGAATTATCGAATGTAGACTAAATAGGGTATACAATATGCTCAAGAAGCTGTACAGTAAATGTACAGTAAATGGTCACAGTATAAGGGGCTGCGTAGGCCCTGAATGAAGCCACCCTAACAATAATAATGGTGTTAACCTTAAATAATTGACTTCCTAATAATAAAAATATATATGCTGCAGCACACCATTCACTATAATATTGTACCATACCATTTAGCCTATAGGCTAAATTGTACTGGTCACAGGTGTATATAACATGGGGTGAGATTAATAATAATGAATTAAATGATGATAAGTAGATAAGCTCAATATTAGATATAAAGAGAACTAACCTGGGCACACTCACTAATAGACCAAACACGCTGATCTGGTAATCCAGAATGTGGAGCAGGAGGATTATTGTTTCCGGGCAAATTATCCCAAGACAATGGAGTTGGTGGCCTGCGTTTCTTCCATAGATTCTCCATAGACAATAAGTAGCGGATATCATCTCCAAACAGTTTGGAGAAGAGTTTCTCAGGATCGTAATTTGTTTCAGCTGCCCAAGCTCGAGTGCTTTTTCGTTCCACATTGCCTGCTGTGTTTGCTTCTGATGATAGAGCTGATGAGCCTGCCTCACCTGATGCTTCGGGATCTGCTGTGTCTGGGCTCACATCCTGGATAATTAAAGAAGTGCATTACAATTTCTGATAACTATTTTGAAAATTCATTATCAAAAAAGTGTATTCGATACATCCAAAAGAAACATAATGAATTTCATTAATATGACAATAAAGATTTTGACTGACGGAAAAATATTACTTAATGACTATTTCTCAAAATAATTACGAAATACTACAAAAAAATTTACCATTAAGCTATACATAGGCAAAATATAATATTGACATATCTGCCTACTGCCAAACTCATTCTTTTTTGCATTGTCGAAGTCAGGTAATAACTGTATACATTCAACTTTATCCCGTTATGTAACAAAATGTATAAAAATGTTACGAAATACTAATACAAACATGATCATTACAGTTTTTCAATGACAATGGTTTGTTATAATTTGATATTACCAATGTAATACGCTTATGAAACTTTTAATTTACATGTATTACGTAGGGATAAATAAATCACGACTCAACTTTGAAGTTCTTTACTATTAAAGTCACGAACACGAAAATATTGATCATCACTTTTGGACTGATTGTCATGAAAAATATGGCCGAGGACGCCAAACCTACAGCCAATAAGGATGATTCTAGTGGTGCTCATGCAAAAATCTTGAAAGTGGAAATTAAGCGTAACGAAAGAAAAGTAAATCGGTATGACTCATTTTATTTTTGGCATATTACTTAAATTTTTACTAAAACCACATATCAAATCACTTTAATACATAAACTACATTCAATCAAGGTCTGTAATACAAAAACATGCACCTTATTAATGGGACATTTCGTATTTTATTTTTACAAACAGTTGAGGTCAGGGTGCGGCAATTTTATTTTTGTATGAAGAGTAAAAAACATTGTTATGAAAATGTTGAAATAATTAATGAAATAATAAGATTACATTTTTCACTCTTCGTAGTATTAAAAAGTAATGTTTATTCTTTAAAATTTTCCTATTTATTTTTGAACGATTGAATAAAAACATTTTCTACTGTTTCGGGGCACACCCTTTTTTTTTATAAATGTACAAATATTTTGAGAAATAGTCTAATAATAGATTTATTTTAACTAGTGTGTTCATATCAATAGGCTTTTAGAACAGTGGTCTATCCAAAAACGTAATTCAGCAGAATAGCAGTCTAACAACAAAACTGCAGTGTATCCAGCAAGCAGAGCCAACAAAACAGGTTATTATTTTTATGATTATTTTTTAACGAATGTAAAGCTCACCACTTTATTCACAGTAAAATTTTGCAAACTCTAAATACGGCTGTGCCACTTGTTGCAGAATATTTTGATTCAGGCGACTTGAAAAGCAGTGATACACAATAACACCCTGTCATGCGATGACACATTAAATATTTATTTGTATTATTTAATTCCAAACTCGGGGTCAACGAGCAATAGAGCGCAGCATACTTAGTGTGAAACGGTCCGAGCGACATCGGAATACGACACTGCGCTCCCAAACTCAGATTGCTGATGTAGCCCAAAAAGCTGCGAAGCTGAAATGGAGTTGGGCTGGTCATGTCTGCCACATGCCTGAAGACTTGTGGGCCAAGGTAACCACCCAGCGGAGCCCCAAAAGCGTAATGCGTCGCGGCAGACTGAGGAAGCGATGGCGTGACGAACTGGATGCCTACGACAAGGATTGTGTCCAGTCAGCTCAAGATCGGGATGCGTGGAGGGATCAGGAGGAGACTTTTGCCCAGCAGTGAGATACATCCAGGCTAATTGTAATTATTTAATTATCTGCAATTGATTTGTATTAGTAATAAAATTGAGTTAGGCCTTCAAGCATCATGCTCTTAGAAGAGTTCTCAGCTAGTTTCTTGACGGTTTCTTTTTGAAGCTAAGGCATCTTTCTTTATCTCTAGTCTTTCTATTCCAAAGTAACTCTTAAGTACAGGTAATGAGAATAAAAAATAAAAGTTACCTGGTCTGGGTCCTCTTCACCAAATAGCTGGTTGAACAGATGCTTAGCCCACACAATGCAATGAATAGGCTCTGAGGGAGTGTTACGAATAGTGCAACCAGGGAACGTTTTCTGAGGTGCCTTCGGCTGACACTCGTAACATTGGGTTAAGCCTTTCTTGATAAGTTCCACCTAGTATTAAAATTAGAAATTAGAAAAGGAAACCACGGAAGACATAAATATATACATATAAGCAATAAAAGAGTAGTTAACACCTAGCCAAAGATTGCTTTAAAAAGACAAATATGGAAAAAATCACTGAAGGCCTATACCAAATTGGGCAAACAGGCAGAGCAGAAAAATGTTATTTAAAACATATATGAACTAATTTGTTTTAATGAATTTAATTTGAATTATAACAATATTGTTTACAATTGAAGGCGAAAGGTAAAGAGCCCTAAGTTCATATTTGGGAATTTAAATGTTTTTACAAATTTGTTTTACTGTTCTCAATATGACGTTAAGTTCTGTCCATCGAGTATATCCAAAAATAGTGATGAAATGTCATTTAATTTGTTTGAAAACTATTCTGCCAAATCATTACTGTGACTGAGCACTGATTGGCCAGCCCGAATTCGACACCTCATGTCAACCAGTTTAACTTGAACTTTGCTATAATGGACAATATTGAAAATTGCAAAATTACATATTTAATTACCAATGAAATATGATTCCGTTTGTTTTGTAATTAGATGTGTTGCTGTTTTTCCCATACCACTGAATGGAACAGTCCCCATTATTAGAGATATTATCTTTATTACAATAAATACAAAATATTTTTGGAATACATGGAGACATACACACACTGGTCAGTTGTTGGCGCTATACTATTTCAGTTTTCTAGTTTGTGATTTCAGCGCAATGAGAGTTGATACTTAAGTGATTTAACGCCCATTTGTCTGATGAGTTGCCAGGGATGGATGGCCCTTATTTCATATCTATTTCTGGTTATATACTCGATGGTTCTGTCATTGTTCGTTTTTTTTTATTTAACATAATTTATTTGAAATTAACATGATTTTACATATCTAAAATTAAGAGCCGCAGTCTCTTTAAAACTTTGTAGTAATAATTATTCAGCACTAAGGTTTTTTTTACCTTTCACCTACGGACATGATATCAGTTAAGAGTATATGGTGAATATAGCATAGAAATAAAGATACTTGTTTAAGTCACTAGTTGAAAATCTATGAAGTCATTTACCTGTCCAGCATATCCAGCAGTACCTGTTTCAACTAATGGTACATTGGCAGCCAAGCACATTCTGTTAACATGGTTACGTGCAACACGATTGTCCAATGCATTTAAGACTATGTTGAATTGTTTGAAATAGCTCACTCCATAATCATTGCTGAAATAAATATGTAGTTCAATGTTAGAAATGAAATTAGATGAAATATGTCACCTGTTGGCACTTCATTTTGACATGAGAGTGGCAACTCACATAAAATTTGGAGAATATTTGCACAGACTTGTGATGGTCAGATTTTTAAATTAACCCGTCATGTACCTTTGAGATATTTGGAAAGATCTCTGATTGGCTACTATTAAATTTACAAGCTTACCAACATTTAAAATTAACAAAAGTAATGTTTCATTCACCAACTTCGCATTGTGGGCAACTATGGGTCCACAGGAAGCTACCAGTACTAAAAGCATTATAGACCCATATTAGGTGCACCAGGGTTTCAATAATTTATTTATTTTATTATTATATGGTAGTATAATAAAGTAGTTATATAGTAGTAGTTATCAGCATTTTATTAATTTATATAATAATATATTCTTCATTTATTCCCTATTCTTGTTCTTCTTCTTAGATATTTGTGATGAGTTGGAGAAATAATCCCATTTGTGAGGTCTTCATTTTTTTGAAAAATGAATATTCTTCATTCTCCCCGTATTCTCTCAATATTTTTCGTACAATTTTATTTCTTTTTCCATCCCCCATGATAATTTTCTTCATTTGACGTTGGCACCGGTCAAAAGTTTATGTTACTGAACAAAAACTATACCTAACTTTCTTTTACTAAACGATTTTATTTTTTATTTCACGCTAAATAAAACTTCATAGAATGTTTCCAAAGGAAAGAAAATAACATGAGCTCTCAAATTATATTTTTGAAATGTCATTAAAAAAAAATTATAGCCGTCAATATGCCGCTTAAGTGTTTTAGTAACCGGCAATCTATCTCACCACCGCATTGAGTCCTTAATAAATTAGTCTTTCAACCCTGACGTTGGCGAAATTGTCGCGCAAAACGACGGAGCCATGGATACAAAAGTTGAAGTTGAAGCACTGTCGTGTTGTAATAGCACGTTGCAGTTATAAAACGGTAAGTCACTGAACATCACATTTCGTCACGGATTGTGATGTGCAGATTGATTTTAACAGTACAACCAATAGATCCTACTGATACCCCGAAAGCATATAAATTTTGCAGCTGATGATGATACAAGACAGACTTAGAAATTCCTGTATCAATCAGCTGGTTCATAGAATACTTGTTCATACTTGTTGAGTACGATTGAGCGTCGAATGAGATAAACGAGTTTATGCATGTTTGTCTTATTACTGTCGGTGCTTGCGGCCGAAGCAATCCCATATAAAATACGTAATATTTATTTTATTTTCATTTGCGGTTTCGCGCGTACTAGTTAAGCAGTACTTAAGTTCAACACTTACTTAAGTATTTCTCAAAACAAAACAATGTCGGAAGTAAAAAAGAAGAGACGGCAATACTGTGCGGAATATATTAAATTCGGATTCATTGAAAATCCCACAAACCCATCGTCGCCTTTGTGCCTTCTATGTCTAAAAACATTTTCGAATGAAGCAATGAAGCCTTCAAGACTGCAAGATTATTTGAATAAAATGCATCCAGATAAGAAAGACAAGAATGTAGCATATTTTCAAGACCTAGAGAAGAAGCATAATACTCAGCCAAGTGTAGCAAAACTCCTTTCGGCGGCTGCTAAGCCACATGACGACGGACTTGGAGCGTCGTACAATATCTCTTTGTTAATTGCTCAAAAAAAGGCAAACCACACAACATCAGAGAAGAGTTAATTTTGCCAGCAATAAAGGAAGTAATAACTACTGTGCTTCATAAACCGGCTGCAGATATTATCCGAAAAATTCCTTTGAGTAATAATTCTGTGTAAAGACGAATTGATGAAATGGTTGAAAACATTGAAGAATCATTGTGCAATCATCTGAGGACTAGTCAATTCTCAATTCAGCTTGATGAGTCCACTTTACCAGCTAATGAAGCATTGTTGTGAGGTTTATTAAAAATGAGAAAATATGTGAAGAACTAGTGTTTGCTAGAAATTTAGAGACTGAGACAAAAGGCCAAACCATGTTCAATACATTGGAAAAGTTTTGTGATGAGAAAGATATTCCCTTGAAAATAATTATAACAGTTGCTAAGGATGGCGCTCCGGCTATGACAGGGTGGCATAAATACGTACATTGCGTTATTCATAGACAATATTTGGTTGCTAGAAATTTAAGTGAACATCTATTTCGATCACTGCAATATGCCATCAAAGCAGTCAATAAATTTCATAACAGCTCTTTGAATGATAGATTATTTCATCACCTTTGTGTTCCTAATAACAAAGTTTTCAATTATTTGTTGTTTCATACTGTAGTTCGTTGGCTATCAAGAGGCAATTGTCTGACTCGATTTTACAACCTGTTTGACTCTGTGATAGAGTTCTTGGAAACTAAAAATACAGAATTGTGCAACAAGCTCATTACGTTAAAGAATGATATAGCTTACATGACAGACCTGTAGAAATTGTTTAACGACATGAATCTCCAACCGCAAGGTGATGAAATAAATTTAATAAAACAAAAAATGTAGTGCTGCTTTCGCAGCCAAACTGCTTCTACACAAAAAGAATATGGGCAGACGAGAGTTTCACAATTTTCGAATTTATCAGTATCCTGCAGTAACGATGACTTGTTTGCCTACTGTCAACATTTGGAAAACCTCCATATTGACTTCACCAAACAATACCAGGACATTTTGGAAATACCAGACTGGGTGTTGGATCCGTTTTCAAATGTCAACACAGCAATATCACCTCAGCTGGAAGAACTTATAGAATTGAAAATGATAAAAATCAAGTGCAAAAATGGACCAAGAATTTTGGCTACAAAAACCGATCCCGCAATTGTACCCTGGATTGTGGTCAATCGTTCTACGATTCTTGATAGCATTCCCATTGTCATATTTGTGTGAATGTGGTTCTAGTGCTGTGGTGACTTGCGGCTATTCTTGAGTAATTTGGTATCTTACAAACTTATTAAACAGCATCAGATTCATCCATCACATTAGTTTTTATATTAGAATCGATAATTGTTTGTTTGATTTTGAATAAAAGATACTCTAAATACTATGAAGTTGCGTTTCAATAATCATTCTCATTGGCAGGTGTAGCCTGTAAGTGTTAACTTAAGACCTAAGAGCCATTGTGTATTACCTACTGCACACGGGTCTCAAGTCAAATCTTGCGGGTTACAATAAAAATCTCGATTAGAATGAATGTTTAATCTTCACTAATATAACTCACAATACTTAATTTAATTTGAAGTTATGGTGGTTTTTAAGTAGGTGAAAAAATGGGGGCGCTAAAAAATAATTTATTCTCAAAGTGGGCAGTAGACAAAATAAATAAAGTACTGAAGACTTGGCATTAGTCTATTTAACTAAAACTAACAAGAGAAAAATGCACCAAGATTTGGCTGCATGGTTTTAAACCTTTTCCTTTATGGAAAATTTAAAAAACCACATACTAGTACCTAGAAGGAACCTATTATTACCTTAAACCGTTACAAACACATTTAACCTATCGTCATAACCTATTACAAAGTACTCACCTAATAACACTATCATGATGTGCCACGATATTAACATTAGGATTGAAACCGAGCGCGCTGTCCTTAGCCACTTGTGCCTTGGATTTCCCCACATGCTCCTTGTGGAATAGGAACTGACGGTTTAGATTGCTTACGTCGATAGTATCAAGGTCGATCTGTAAAATATACGACATTTTTAACCACAAAAACGCATTAAGTGTTACAATAAATATTAGTGTTCAGTAAGGTTACATACAATTTCAATCTGTGGAAAGCCGGTCAAAACGAGATTCTTCAAAATTTCACAACCTATACCGCCGGCACCGACAACTAAAATCTTAGAATTCGCAATAGCCTTAGTCAATTTCTCGTCAAAAACACCAGCGACACGTGCCACCATGATTCGTGATTGAAAATAACAATACCCTTATGGAGAGAATTATCAATTTTAGGGCTAGATATTGTATTTTTCTTTACGAGAAAACGCAACAAACGCGGAGACCTACGGGCTTTTGGCGACTGTCAAAAAAGGCGTCTTCGCTTGTTTAGAAATGTGTTTTCGTTTAAAAATTGAAGATTAAATCGATATTTTTGTAAAGAGAAAATGGTGGTTATTTCAAGTAGCGCAGCGAGACCGGCAAAGAAACAAATCAACATCGTCCAAATAACATACTTTGGGATAATTTAGTTACTGTTCTGCGTTGTATCTCAGTAACAAGTATTCATTAATAAAACCAAGAGAAATAAGAAAAAACTCTAAGTATAATATAGAGTTATGTAAAGATATTATAGAGTTTATTAGAGCGGAGCTGTATACCACAAATTAAAAAGATAATACATACCTACTTTAGGCGCTTAAACTGAAACGATGCTGCTACCCGTGCCTTCGTGGCCGCTCGCTGCTTTTGATAGGCGATCAGTGATCGATGCAGGCGTCCCGGGCTGCCTAGCATACCTAGAGGTGCGGGCGATGATTTATCGGATAATTGATGGTATAACAGGTAAAATAAATAACATTGATTGCCATTTTGGTAACAACTCTAGTAAACCCATAGATTTAGTATATACATATATAGGTATTTGGTATATAGGTGGATATATTAAATCTATGAGTAAACCATAGAGTTTTTTAATCTATGTGTGTCATAAAATAAAAATAAACAATATCAAATTCTCAATCACAGTACGTTATGTTGAGAAAAAAGTAAAATTTAAGACCTGGCAGTATGGCAGACGCCTTAGCCTGTCCCGAAAGACGTAAAATTTTACTACTACAATCATAGTACTTATTAATTCCATGACTACAATACAAACAATAGATAATCGTGCGTTGATCGTGCGAGTTTGCTAAATACTTACTGAAGACTCTTTGGGTCTTTTCTCTTTGGTGATCGCAAGGAGACGAGAAGTTAGGTACATGTGATCGTACCGTTTGTTCTGGTGATTTTGGTGTTTGTCTTGAAAACGCGCCGTAAGTGTTTTATTTAGAATTTGATTATATACTTAATGAATAATTTATTTTCTTTGTAGATTTAGATAATGTCTTATTAATTAAGACATTATCTAACAAATATTTTAAAAGGAAAGCAAACAGGCTACTGCCGCCGGTCTTCTTCATGGTTACATTGCTTATTGATTTCATTTTCAACAAAAACATTACCTACAAATTTTTTATCAATTATACAATAGAATAACACATTATGTTTTCATTACATTCAGGATTCATGAATATCTAAGAATTTGGTAAATTTTGTACGAATTAAGCTGAAAGGTTGTGGACGGCTGTGACTGCTGAATGACGTCCATTATGGATATAAGGCTGGTTACAAACGTATTTGCGTTTGATAATTTTTATACTATACAATCATTGACTTACAAATAAATGGACGACGACGGGTCTAATACAAAAACCACGAAAAAAATGTCCCAAGTCAACCTATTTAAACGTAGTGAGTGACATGTAAAGGAATATAAAACGCTAAAACGTTGAATTTAAACTGTAATGTCATTGCAGTAACAATTGAAAGGCGCAAAAAAACACCATATTCAGCTCCTACTGGAAACTTACCAAAATGCACCATATGTAGCTTCTAGTGAAAACTACTTGAACATAGGTATAATGGAGTAGCCTTTATTATTTATAAATAAATTTTATACGTAAATGTTGAATTTTATACAATGCCATTTATTACGAGCTAGGGTGTCTGACTTTTTTTCTTGAGTTTCGAGAATTCTCGTACCCGATTTCTCGAGTTATTCGATATTTTTTTAAAAACCGTAAAAAATCAACTCAGTCAACTATAAAACTAAATGTGAACTTTTCGAAAGTTATTTTCGCCTGGGTGTTCTGAGTTATGCCCCGGAATAAATTCCATCGTTCTTGGTCCCAGGTTCGATTCCCAGTAGAACCAATTTGGGAAATGAACTTTTGTAAATTGGTTCTGCTCTGGAATTCTGTTGCTCTGATACTCATGGGGAGTATGTACAGAGAGTTCCCTAGTTTCAAACCAGATGATTGTCTTACAATAGAATATCAAGATCAGAACCATTTAGAAAAGTTAATTTGTTAAATTGATCCTACCGGTATCGAACCCGGGAACTTCTCGTTCAGTGCCCACAGTGCAAACCGTTAGGCTATCAAGGTTGTTACTATTTGCATTATTATGCAGTGTTTTTGCTCACTCATTGATGAAATCACATATCGAAGCTTTAATATTATGGTCTTTTATCAAGCTTGCATCAGCTCTGGTTTCCTTTCTTTTCTTACTATTTCCTTAACCCGTTCGTGCATAGTACTGAAATTATACTGCGCTCAAAAACGTCACCACTTTTCTATATGCCGTAGTGCTTACATTGCTTCAATACAATTATTACGGTTTATCACTGACGACGGTTGATTTCGTCAACAGGCATAGTCGTACTGCTCATAGTTCTTGCAAATGTTTGTTGTGCATGAAAAAGTACGGCTATGACGGTAGTAGAGTATTTGCCGTTGTGAGATAATTACAAAATTAAAATGTGCGATTGCGCAAGAGAAACGCTTTCCAAAATAAACACTTAGGTACTAATTAATAATAATAATTATAATAACGCACACACTCAACATTGCCCCGCATTAGGGAAACCCTGTGTCGCGGGTGCCATGGACACACATACCACAAATTACACCCAAACTCACGAGAGAAATAAATGTGGGCCATACACATATTTCTCCCGAAAAACCTAAAAAAAATACTTTCGGGATTATGGAGATTCATGCAAAAGTTATTTTGGGCAAATGTATTTTCGGTCTTCTGATTCGTAACCCCGAGCCGTAGAAAGAGTACAACAATATTTGAAAGTATTACTAACATCTATTAAAAAATATTTTAATAATAACATTAGCATCAAAGCGACTCTTCAAAATTTTGTTCTAAATATTTCAAACAATTGAAATTGACGTGATGGCTCTCGTTCAGTCTTTTACGCAAGCAATGAGTCGGAAAGAGACAGTTAGCTATTTGATTATTTTGATTGCTTTTGTAATTTATATTTACGATTAATTTAAATATAAATTTAATACTATATATACTAGTGCATAAAATAACACTTTTAAATAATAACTATGATAACACAATATAGTACTTACTGAAAATGTGATATACCACACTGTTTTTTCACTTTATTTGAGTAATCTTTACAAGGTTTTACTACACATTACGGCATTATTGACAAGCGCGCTGTCAGTCGAACAAACGAAGACTAAAGCGTGATTAACGTCCTGTATACGATTTTAACGCCCTGTAAGTTCGGACACTTTTTAGCGCGGACCCGACGTCCATTTATTTGTAAGTCAATGTATACAATGTGTTGATTTGCATTCTCGCTATATTTACAGAGGTCATGCTATATCCGAAATTGAACCCAAATCATGAAAAAACTTTAATTGCGGTACACATGTTTGATCCAAAGGTCATTTAACTTGTTACATGTACCGGCAAACATCGTGAATAATGATCACAAATGCGCAAAAATGCATTTTAGGCAGTGTTGCCAGGTCAAATCTGAAAAAATCGTAAGATATTCTACCAAAAACACAGTAAATTGAAGAAAAAACACAGTAGATGCTAAACTTACCTTGAAACGCTTTTAGGTCGATTTTCTTCGAACATTAATTGGTCATTTTAATTTTTACATTACTGACCAAAGGAAAAGCGCGTAATGTTTTTGATGTTATGTTAAGGTGTTGGTAGGTATCTTAAAAATTTATTTTTTATTACTCATAGCGGGAATCTCAATGTTGTTTTTGACAGCTGTCATTCCAATACAATTGAGTTGACAACATTTCAAATTAAATCGTCGCGCAAAACGACGGAGGCATAGATACAAAAGTTGAAGTTGAAGTAATGGTATAAAAATCAAGAAACCATTTAGAGATTTTATTGTTCTGACCACGATATTTATTTTTTAGAATTTATTATTCACTAAATTATCTAATATTTACTTCTGGATTTCAAACACTAAATTCCTTTGCAATGGTCTTTTCTTTTATTATTGTTTTTAACGTGCGTATAGCAACAGTTGACTGGTACGAGTTCAGTGTGACCATATGAGACAGGATACTGCCTTTTTGGCAGGATTGTCCCTTTTTTACCTTTGGCAGGATCGGTTGACGTTTTATGAAATTGGCAGGATCTGGCAGTATTAATGGAAACTATATGATCTGGCAGATCTGGCAGTACAGCGTTATCGCAGGCTTAAAAAAATTAATTACTTTTTAATTATGGCCACTCAACGTCGCATCGCGTCTAGTTGTAAACCTTAACGTAACGATGTTTATGTCTATATTCCGTAATTTCATATAATTATTTAGATGTGTCGGGTGGTGGCGGTAATTTTTATTGCTCTAAGTCGGAGGCTCCGAGCTCTGCAGTGTACGCGATTCAAAAAATACGAAAACATTCAATCGTCGAATCAGCTAGATTGGTTTACTTCAGCTACTTTGATATATTAATAAAATATTTGTCCTGTAGAAACGTGCGGTTTACAATCAAGGCAATTTACAATCTGGCCTTCAGAGTGTCTTTAAGAGATAATTTTAACCTCTTTGCATGTTGTGGCACTCTGATGTAGTTCCATCCCTCATTTATGTACTCTACAGGTAGTACTGGAGGTAAGGTACACAATCCCACAATACGACGATTCATGTTTGTTTTTAATCCCAGAGATTTAGCTTTCTTGCACAAGTCGTTGACAAAATGGTAATAGCACCCCTTAATAGTGATTGTTGGGAACACGTTTTTTAAATTTGGTCATTGTGTTTTTATCACTTTAAATAACACGGTATAAGACTCTACGTCTGTTTTATCACTCATTAGACAATATATTAGAGGTACTGTGTTAGTTATCTCTGAGGTACTTCCAAGTTGCCATGTATAGTATATAATTGATAAAAAGGTACAGACGTGCTTTGGAAAGTACCGTCCCCGTAGTATTCATCAATGTCATCAATTAATGGCCTGAAATTTTCAGAGC